CAGCATCTTCTGGTAAGTGATACAATGACTTCCTAGGAACCATTGGTCACAAAGACAAACGTCTCAAGTGTATACACGTTTTAGAGCTTAGTAAATTATTCACTGTGGAGTTGATGTTCATCTCTAAAGGTAAGTGAATCTCTTCAGTTACCTGGAGATGCTAGGTCTGATACTGCAGATCCCAACCACTACATATGTACTTCCAATGCACTAAACATACAGGAATGGGAAAGGAGGAGATTTCAAGACCAAGACAGAAATTACCGCACACACTTGAGGAAAAGGATCACTGAAGAAAAGGAAGCTGAAACAGAGAGTAACACAGCAAAGGATAAAGATACCTCTCTGCCTTTCAACTCTTCCTTCTTCAACTAGGAAAGATGCGATTGTATCTCTTTTCCACCCAGTCCTGGAAGAACACCTTACAATGACTTCCACAGCACCGTAGGGCATGTCTACACTAACACAGTGGTTGGGATCAGGAATGCACTTCTGCAGAAATTCCCTGATGTCCCCACTAACTGCCCTTCAGCAAGCATCACAGAGGAGTCTCAGGGAATATGAACTGGATGCAACCAAACATGAAAATGCATTTCAGGAATGCACCTACTGCACTCCAGATGTAAACAAAGAGTAAAACCCCAAGGCACCAGACTAGAGTTGGCATGAAACAAATCCTTCTGAAATGCTTAGCATCAATCCTTCTCCAACGACTGTTCTCTAAAAAGCTGCTCTATTTCATCTGCGCTACGTTGCTAAACACTGCCACAGAACACCATCTAGAATGGGCGCTTACAAAAATGTTCTGAAGAAGAAACAGGGAGGTAGAAGAAGAGACAAGAGATCAGAGTAGCTTGGTATCAAATAACTTTTACTGATAGTAGCGAGGACATGTTGCTTCAAGCTCAGTTTCTTCCTGCCAAACTCTTCCCATATGCCAAGTAAATGGCTCAAGGACTGCAAAGAGGCAGCCAGGCTAGGTCCAGCTAGACTCTTAACCTAAATGCCAAAATGGTTAACTTCCCAGAAAATCCACGCTCTAAGAAAACTGAAATAGGCAGCAGATACCTGCAAACATCTACATTACGGTTGTCTCCTTTCAGGGGACTCTCATGATCAAGGTTGTTAGCGGAATTGGGATTATTTCACTGGGCAGACACAGCTTTTATTATGAGAATTCTTCCACAGGAACTACTAAAATAAAAAGGCTAAATCAACAACCGGTAGGTGAATACACTCATTTTACACAAATTTAACTTTCCTGAAGAAGAAAACACAGGCGTATTTCCTTACTTGAAAGAAACAGGTCAGGCAAATAAGATGTGTTTGACAGGGGAAAGGGAAGGGGAAAACCCCAATCCATTCTTGAATTAAAAAGAGAGAAAATAGTAAATTTGATTGAAACACTGCTAACTATGTAATATATTAAACCTCTACCCCAAAGAAAGGGCTCTTTTGAAGCTTTACTTCCTGTTTCACCTACATGATTTTCTGAAAAAAAAAAAAAAAAGATTAAAAAATCTAACAGTTTTGGAAAGACTGCTCTGAACAACTTGGGTAACAACCCAGAATTCCTTGTTCATGTCATCTCCTCACCTCCCCCTTTTTTTTTTTTCCCTTTTAATAAATTACATTGAAGACATATGAATACAGGATTACAGAATGGTAGGGGTTGGAAGGGCCCTCTGGAGGTCATCTCGTCCAATGCCCCTGCTAGAGCAGGATCACCTACAGCAGGTTGCACAGGATGGCATCCAGGCAGGTTTTGAATATCTCCAGAGAAGGAGACTCCACAACCTCTCTGGGCAGCCTGTCCCAGTGCTCGGTCACCCTCTAAGTGAAGAAGTTTTTTCTCATATTGAGATGGAACTTGCTGTGTTCCAGTTTGTGCCCATTGCGCCTTGTCCTGTCACTAGGCACCAGAGAAGAGAATCTGGCCCCATCCTCTTGACACCTGTCCTTTAGATATTTATAAGTGTTTATGAGATCTCCTCTCTGCCTCTTCCTCTCCAGACTAAACAGACCCAGCTCTCTCAGCCTTTCCTTATCAGAGAGATGCTCCAGTCCCCTAATCATACTCATAGCTCTCTGCTGGACTCTCTCCAGTAGTTCCATGTCTTTCTTGAACCGGGGAGCCCAGAACTGGACCCAGTACTCCAGATGTGGCCTCACCAGGGCAGAGGGGAAGGATAACCTCCCTTAACCTCCTGGCCATGCTCTTCTTAATGCACCCCAGGATCCCATTGGCCTTCTTGGCCATGAGGGCACACTGCTGGCTCATGGAGAGCTTGTTGTCCACCAAGACTCCCAGGTCCTTCTCTGCAGTGCTGCTTCCCAGCAGGTCAACCCCTAACCTGTACTGGTGCTTGGGGTTATTCCTCCCTAGGCGGAGGACCCTACACTTGCCCTTGTTGAATTTCATTAGGATCCTCTGCACCCAACTCTCTAGCCTGGCCAGATCCCGCTGAATGGCAGTGCAGCCTTCTGGGTGTGTCAGTCACTCCTCCCAGTTTCGTATCATCAGCAAACTTGCTGAGGGTACACTCTGTCCCCTTGTTCAGGTCATGAATGAACATGTTGAACAAGACTGGACCCAGTACTGACCCTTGGGGCACACCACTAGCTGCAGGCCTCCAACTAGACTCTGCGCCACTTATCACAACTCTCTGGGCCTTGCCATTCAGCCAGTTCTCAATCCACCTCACTGTGGGTTGAGAACTGCCTAACAAAGATAGAAGCATATATTCAAAAAATGAATCATAATTAGAATCATAGAATACTCCTATTTCCTTTTCACTGGAAAGAAAGTGTGTTGAATGCCAACCCTACATGTTAGGTGACTTGAGTATCAGAAGTGTAAAGACAACTTGAAACAATGATTCATCTTTTGAATATATGCGCCTATCTTTGTCAGTGACAAAGAGGAACAGGAAGAAACTAGATACACTAGTGTTAAAAGATTTTCAGTATCTCCACGAGCACTGTGTTACCTTCTCTTAAGGAACCTATTGTGGGACCTTTGCAGAAATCAATCCATGTTAAAAAGTGTCACAGCAAACATTGTATGCCAAGTCAGTAAGCAGTGGTAACTCTGTGCCTTAATTTTTTGTCTTAGTTCCCATGCAGACTAATGCGGCTGTTAAACCCTGACAAAAGTTTTGTAAAACTACTGTTGTATAACTACTAGTTATAACTGTGCCCTTTCCTAATACTCTGCAGCTAACTTGAAACCAGGGTCTATTTTTGAAAACACTTTTTCTTTCCAGAGGACATTTCCTTGGACTTGTCTACACCGAGTTTGGTTTCCCATCATTCTGTCACCATCCACTCTGCTCCTCTAAGTCTTGACTAACTTTAGAAACTCTGTCATCACCAAGTTCTTGCATGGCAGTTCTCTTCTTCAGATGCCTAACAAATAAATACAGGTCTCAATACAGATTTACAGATGGTCAGTCCACAATTTCTTGTTTTGCAAAATTAAATAATTCTTTCTGAACCACCTCACTATGATAATTAACTAAATTCAAAACTAAATACTTTTTTAAAAAAAAAAAGAAAAAGCAAGCAACTGCATTACATAGAAACCCTCCCAGTTTCACTAAGTCATGTAAGACTGCAATCCTTCGTGACAAATGCTGTAGGCATATAATGGTTATGAGCTGCCAGAGTACAGGATGAACTCAATTTACATTACAGTATAGCAATTTCAAACACAGCACCAGTAAGTGCAATAATACACTTAAATATGTTGGCACAGGACCAGTAGTGTTTTCATTACTTTTTAACATGTGCTACTACCCTCTCTTCAGAAGAGGGTGTCTCCTTTTGACAATTCCCCTTTGCCACACATTCCCCAACACATGCCATGGTTCATGGGTCCCAGTCTGCGTATCTTGTGAAGCCCAGGATCAGCAGAGGCTAACACCATTCTCCCATCACTGAGCCTTCTTGATGCTCATAAAGCCTCTTAAGAGATTGCATAAAGAACTATTTAATCTCAGTCTGGCTCTGACCTCAGCATAATTTTCTAAACAAGTAATTTTTTAAATGTTACAGGAAGGTGCCTGATTTCTCAACCTAAGATTTCCTTCACACAAGATTACATCTTCTCCCATACACCTTTTTTAAAAGAATCCTAGACTTGATGCTGAACTGAAAAATCCTGGACCTCCCTGCAAAACCAAACAGCAGGTGGAATAGGAGCAGCTGAAGAACATGTTTGTCACTGAAGTACTTCAGACCTGACCAGCAGGATGGCACAGGTGGCAGAAATGAAATTCAAGTGCACTCTCTGGATTCTTTGGAGTGACTATCAAAGAGGCCATCTAGCACAGTAGTCACAGTGAGTTTTAGAGTATGGATACATGCATCCATAAGACACACTGACTCACTTCACACAAACTAGATGCAGAGACAAAATTACACTGAGTTTGAGGACATGATAGGGAGAGGCAGTAAATTCTCTCTTCATCACTCTGAGCATTTTGATTTGTAAGCCTGTGCTTTTATTCTGGTTATCCAAGAACACATTCAACCACCATATCAAAGCTGAATAACCACCAATGGGATGAGTTGTCCATCTGTAACAAGATCACATGCACAGCTAAGGATGTTATTGAGAAGATTACAAATATTTCTGCTAGATTCTGATCACCTTGCCTATACCTCAGCTTCTTGCAGTGGTCAACGGAAAAACCCAAAACCCCATTTGGGCAACCTCATATTTTGCCTTTGCAGGACTTCTTTGTGAATCGTGATTGCTTCCATCCTCCCTCTTTGACTATCCAAGACAAGCTCAGTGCTGGTCCCACTGGAAATATCTGGCTTCATGCACATTTTTTAATGCAAACACCTGCAATGTTCTACTGGGATTTTCCAGGAAAAAAAAAAAATTGTTTCAGGTAAAAAAGGTTTTGTTTCAAATCAAAATTATTAAGAAGATACAAATAACAAAATGTCCATCCCAGGAAACAAAAATCCTTGCAACTACTCATCAGTTTCTACTGAAATCCCACTAGTCGTCTTATTTCTTGATAGACAGGGGTAGCCAGTTCTTTGGCTTTCTCTGCTCCATCCTCTAAAACCTTTATCAGATGGGATTTGTCTTCCTGGAGTTTCTTGATTTCATTCCTGATAGGTGCAAATTTTTGAATAACTGACTCTGCTACTACCATTTTGTAGTGAGCAGTGTTGAGGCCAGCAGATTGGTGCAGCACTTCTTTTATGCTAAGCCCCGTTACTGCAGCATGAATGGACACCAGATTGGAGACACCGGGGCGACCAGCTGGGTCGTACGTCACCTCAGATGTAAAGTCAGTCACAGCTTTGCGGAATTTCAGCACTATTTCATCTGGGCTGTCCGCTATGTTAACAGTAGCTAACTTCTGTGGGTCTGACTTGGACATCTTCACTGTTGGATCTCTGAGGGATTTTATTTTCTTTGTTGCACCTTAAAAAAAAAAAAAAAAAAGGGAGGAATCATCATTAACACACATAGACAATGTTTTCTTATGACAATTGCTAAGAACACTTTGTAGCAGCATGACAAAGTTCTCTGTGCTCACAACTCATTTTTAAGCATGGATAAAACAATCACATACGCTTCTTATGCTTTCCCTGCGTCCTTGCTAAGCAGGAACTTCTGCTGGGACACTTCCTAACATTTTCTGTGACTACATGCTGATTTTCCCCCAAAACTCTCTCCTCCCTTGCATTCCTAGCACTGGGGACAAGTTACCCAGAAAGCACAGACTGCACATTACTGAAAAGATCTGTAACAGGGGAGAAACAGGTTAAATCCACTGGTAAAAAAGAATTCCTGAACAGTTAATCTCCTTACTTTAGGAAACTTTCACCCAAAATCTCTTGGTAATTCTCCTAAATACAGTTATTTAAAGATCCCTAACTGAACACTAACCAACTCCATTAGAGCGAAAGCACTGTTCAGATAAGAAAGGTATGGGTATTGTACAAACTACTAAGATACACGCATGTACATGAAATAGAATAGTAGCGTTAGAGGAATATCGCAAAGTATTTCTTTAACAGCGTCAACCCAAACTGTTTCAGTCTTTCACCAAGAAACATCATTCATGGAGTACACAAAGTACCACTGATCGAGAAAGTACTCACGCTAATTGCTTTTAGACACCTAATACAGCAAACTAGATTACCCACATACTCCTCATAGATGGCCTATGTACTCAGTGAAAGGATAAGTGTTCCTCCTGGGTACCGTTCAGATTGCCCCAGAAAGTGCTCTGTTCTGAATCACCTTTTGAAACAGTCTGTCTTTTTTCTGTAAATTTGAAGGAGTCCAGGTAATCTAACCACTTACAGCTAGTGAGCCTGTATAGGTCCCTAACTTCTCCATTCATCTACGATATTTCATTGTTTTGCATATACTTGTGCCCTTATGAAGGTATGCTTTTCATGCGGAAAGTGAAAAGTGTTGGAGTTTTTTTGTTTGTTTCTTTCAAATTGAGTTTTTTTTATTTCCTGGGAAACAGTCTCACCTCAATCATAGGCTACACTCAGTTCTTCATTACAGTGCTTAGTATTTAATTGTTAGAAACTGCAAAGCTTGCCATACCTAGTATTCCCTAAGCTCCACTCTGATTCTAACACCATTTTTGTCAGTGAGGCTTGAAAATTGAGAAAGGTTTATTACTGCCTGTCTTTTCTAAGGTGAGAGCTCCTTGCCCTTTTGGGGGCGAAGGTCTCTGCTGTGCATTCCTCTACATTACTTACAACAAAGATGCAATGCTTCTTCCTTGCCCAATTCTTCACGTTTCTTAACAAACATGCCATTTGCGCCATCTGACTCCTCCTCACCCCCCGGCCTATGACCTTATAGCTCAAAAATGGCTGAGAAGATTTTCCTTATAAGTCTCCCTGAGTCTAAGATCAAAACCGCTAAGTCTAAGCTCTGTAAGAGACCCTTACTGAAATATGCAAGTGTATAACACACTTAAAAGATTTTTGAGCATTGTAGAAATAAACCTACAAGCATGCTTGATGTAAACATCTACCACTCAGACATTGAAGAATTCTGCTTGCTAGAGGTCTCTTGTCTTGTTCCTGACATGTCTCCTGAACTAGCAATACAGAGCAGAGACCCTACTCTTAAAGGGTCCAATACCTGAAAAGCAAGGGTGACTGGCAGAAGCAGAGTGCATCTGGCCCCTGGACTAGAATACCAGACGTCACATACATTCCTCTACCGGGGATTTGTAAAGCCTTATGTCTTGGGAGTTCGGTTTCACAGCCTCTAGTCTTTTGTTGTCAGTTTTTAATTTTCCGCTCCCTTTTCTTGGTCCCTGAAACTATTTCCATGATATTTAGATCTATCTTCTACCTTGAAGTGCAGTTAAGGGTAAGAAAAAAAAAAAATAACCAAGACTAGCTTACTTAAAATGGCTTTGGGCACAGGAAAGAATTCTCCGTATTTCTTGTTGAAGTGTTGTGCTATATCTTGGGCTAGTTCCAGGTGCAGGACTTGATCTTCTCCAACAGGAACATGTGTCGACCTTTTAATAAAAGACAGATACAGGAAACTCAGAAAAGCTCTCAGTTCTGCTGAAATGTTACCCAAGACTGTCACAGCTTCTGCCATGGGTGAGGGCCAGATTGAGCCAAACACTCAGTCCCAGCTAGATATAGGTGCTGTGGGAACAAGATCCCAAACTGACTGTATCCCAGGATGAGTCTGTTTTTTGTCCTGAACTGAAGCACATCTCCAAGGGCAAAAATAGCCCTTCGTGAAAACATATATGGTAAAGATACCAATAACAGCAAATCATTAAACTCGGCTCAAAGAAAGGTTTTTGTAGTATCTCCTGCTGTCTCTTTAGAGATCAAAGAGCATGTGTTACAGTGTGTGAACAAAGTAAGAAAGATCTGCAAGGCATAAAGCACAAGCACCTTGCTCTGTCAAGTCTCAGGAAAACACAATTGTTGTTGAGAAGCTAGTACCGTGGATTTATCAAGGGAAGGAAAGAAGAGAGTGTTTCTTCCTCATAGGTCACCGTTATATAAATATCATGTGGGCCAGTGCCTCTACTGCCACAAATGTTATCATTCATAGATTAGAACTATTAGGATCAAAGGATCATTTGATCTTCTGTATTAAACTCAATAGCTTGAACACAGTTCTGGAGGAAAACTCACTCTGCAGAGGACATGAGGAGGTGAAGAATCCATTACTTCCCCTGGTGACTCTTGCCCACAGTTAATCATACTCACTAAAAATGTATGATTCTTTTAGATAAGGCAGATTTGAAGTCTTGCCAGCTTTTGATTACTCTGCCCTCCCCCAGCAGATTTTTTTTTTCTAAGGCTCGTGGGGTATTCAGCTCTGAATCCTGGATATGTGCCAGCATAAGAAAGTTCACTATGCATCTTTTAAGTTCCCAGAAAATTTCAGTTCCACACGGTACTCCTTCCTTCCGATTCGGAATTACTGGACTGACATCCAGCAATCAATTTGTCCACCTTTACTCCCCACCAAATAGTCAGCAAGGTAACCTAAAACCAGTTACAGTAGCCAACAGGAAATCAGTGACCTACAACTAACAGAAAGAAAATTAGTTACCATAACCAATATACTTTAAGCAGGTCAAAAGAAATGTTTCCATACGCCAAAATGGTTCCATATTCACAAAGTTTGTCACTAAACAAAAAACATATTGTCTTTATAAATGTCTCTGCATGATTATTTGCCCTTTTCCTTGCTGCTGTTTTAATATTTCTGTCCTGGTACTATTTTTATTCCTTGCTGTCATATATTTACCTTCTGTCCATTTTCCTGTCTCTTTGATCCTTGGTTCATCTGAATTAGTACTGTTTTTCCCCCTCCTCCAGCTCTTAATTCTTCTTCATGACTGCTGTTCCCTTCCTGTGTTTCCATTTCTCCCTGATTCTTGTTCCCTATATTATGTTTTTACATGAAAACATTTCTTATTAAAGATATTATGTCAAATTTCTTCAAAGAGATATTGTTTCTCTTTCACTTCCTTGTTTTGTGCTCTGTCTGGACAGCCTGCTGTTAATACATATGGTAGCAAACAAACTACAGGCTTCACTAAGGAATGATACATCACACGATCTTAGAGATGGAAGAGACACACATGGTTGAGCTCAATCAAAACAAGGTGATTTCTGATAAAGTTGTCTAAATTTCACCCTTAAATACTGCTTGACAATCAAATGGGACTCACTGCTTAGAAGATTATTTTAATGTTCAAATTAATGCTGACTTTTGCTTGTTTCCTGTTATTTTTAGTTAAAATTCAAGCGAATTAGAAATATCATCTACTAGTCTTCTAACATTACTGTTTTCTCCTACTAATGATCACTTCGAATTAAATTTCTCTAGATACATTCTTCTGGGTTAACAACTGGCTAGTCTTGGTTATTCTGTCCTCCTAAAGTCCCTGTCTTCATAGTTCTGTATTACTTCTCTGTCCCAACGAATCTTCACAACTTCACTTCAGAACAATTCCACAAAGTTCATATGCTCAGAACATAAAAATAATTAATACATATTGCAGTGTCTCTAACATTTACTTATTGAGACGGTTTAAAACATTATGAAATGCAACCGGTCACGAGAATGCACTACAAGCTCTATCAGCTAGGCTACAAACTTAGCCATACTGAGTCACTAGTCCCTCACTAGCATGTATTTCCATTGCAGCACACAGTACACCACAGAGAAAAATGAACTAGCCCAGGTACCACAAGGTGCAGTAAGTTACTCACAACTTCATCGGTATCAACAGGCCTACACAGAATCCCACAATAATATGGGTATACTATACACAGTCAGCTTAAGTATCTCTACAGTACACTGCATAAAATAAAGAATAACTACTTAAAAAAATGTGTGCGCGTGCAAATATGTAATATGTATAATTAATCATCAATGTATTATAATTCCTAAGAATTGTTCTGAAGCGATCAGCTTTTTCTCTTTACAGCCCTGTCAGTTGCTTTCAAACCAGGCTAGTTTTCAACCAGCCGCTTGAGAAGTAAAAAGCTGTCATTCATTCCCAACCTTCTGATCCAATCACACCCAGCTCCCCCACTTAATAAGTTAGCATGTTGACCTGACGAACATTCATTCTAATGCAGCTGAACCGACATTGCCCATGGGCTCAGGTTCTGCCTCTTACTTGTACAGCAAAATATCTGCTGCTTGAAGCACTGGATATGTCAGCAAACCAACAGTTCCTTCGTTATTCTGGCTGGCACGCTTCATCTGTTTGCAAAAGAAAAACAGAGAGGAACCACACTTTTGGCTAATGACGTCAAAGTCTCCGATTTTAATTAATTAGAATTCCGACCAATTTAAGTAACTTATTGCATAACTCAAAAGAAAAGTGTGCCATGTAAAATCCATTCCTTGTGAATATAACACATCCCATTTTATGTCCTATATTTATCAATTTCCCTTCACTGGTCTGATGTTGTAGTGAGGATAAAATAGGCTTGCGTTTTATTTCTGTTTGTAATCTTACTAACAAAAATTATTACGAATACACTATGTAATGGGTTATTACACCCATTATTGATAACCCCTACATTATAAATAGCATTTTTAGCAGTAAATTTTTGAAATGCTTTATAACAGAGATAAGAAAAGGCATTAATACCTGTGTTTCACAGACAAGAGATCAAGATATAGTGACCAAACACAGTTACCAGGAGAGTCAGTGACAGCCAGGAAGAGAACCCTGAACTATAGTGGCAGAGTCCAGCGTTCCCTCCATTAGCTCACATTGCTCCCCACAATCCACCCACTGTCCTGAAGTCCTTTACCACTCTAGCATATGGATCATTTAAACCAACAGAGTCAGGCTACAGATACTTACTCTGTTCTAGTAATGGCATATCTAGTTTTTGTTTTTAACAGTAGCTAAATATGCTAAAACTCTTAATATCTTAATTATTTCAACAAGACTACTGAAGTATCTTTAGATTTTCCTCACCCTCTCATACAGATCCTGTCTTCTGTCTACACCTCTCAGTGCCTAGGGTTCAGGGGACCTAATTTGCAAAGCCTAGCACCTGTAACACCTATCTGTAGTTTTGGAAAGTCAATCCAGTCAAAGTTGGATTTAAGAGCTTAACTTTAGAACCTCAGGTTTGAAAAGGTTGGCTTTAATCTATGCCATGCATTAACGCTGGTTGCTGTATTTAAGTTTTACTGTTTTTATTTAATTAAGAAGAAAAACAGGAAAAAAGAAAACATCTGGAGGTATTTAAGACTGCTCTGAACTCTGCAAGCCAAACTGCTCTTAAGATTTTTTTTTCCCTTTTTTGATACTTCTCTTTCCTGCCTTCTGGTTTTTCTGCTTACTAAATGCCAAAATAAAATACAAGGAAATTAAATGCAAGAACTCAGTTGATGCAGTCATGTTGATGTAATACCAAGATTAAGATGATGAACATTTGAAACTTGTAAAGACAAACATTTAAGGTGCATTAACTTTATCACTCAATACATTTTTAATATTAGTAGTTTTTATACTCCTCTTCCAACACATGCTTCTTTTGCACCCTCTTCCACAAAATCTGAAGAACAGCCACTCTTCACAGTGAAAAAAGAAAAGCTGTTTATGAAACTCTTGAATCAGCAAGGCTCAGGGTTTCCACTACAATATCTTGTAGGTTTTTTGCATTATTAAATAACCATTAAAATAAACTGATTTTGCTGGAATGCTGGGAGTTAACAACACTAAATAACCCCCCTATTTAGTATTTTCTGCAAGTCTCTGCCAAAAATATTATCCTGTAGCTTCCAGCAGAAAAATCTTCACTAATAGCAACAGACCTGGAAAAAACACATTTTCCTCCTTCCACCATAGGACTAGAGAATTACTTAAACCTAAAGCAAGGATAAGAAGATACAATTGGTACTGGATAGATAATAAGCATTTCAAGGACAGTAGTTCTACTGAATTCCCATACACTTCCTTTCAATTTATGAAACTATCCATACCTTCCACTGGGGCAAGCGTAGTAGACGTGGCACATTAGTTAAGCATCCAAGAATCCAGGCAAGTTCTGCATGCGCAGGAACCTGGAAGTACAAAGTCAGAATATATTTTAATCTTCTGCATTTATATGTGTATTTTCTCAAAATCAATACAGACAAATAGTATCAGAAATCAGAAAACCATTTATTTTTTTATATTTTTTTTTCAGCAAGGTCAAGTGACAAGTTAATGGTAAGCTTTGGACACTGCACAGATTGAATGCACTATGCTCAAGCAGCACAGAAAGGTTCTGGATGCTGTCAATTCACATTATAAAAAGAAAGAAAAATATTAGCAATAACAAAGTTGAACTCACATGTAAACTAACCAGCTGCTGGCCACTGTGCCACAGCCTTGAGATAATACATTAATAGTTACAAAACCTCTTTGTCTTTCTCAGTTCCAGTGCCAATAAGCCACCCAAGCTTCCTTTTTTTCTGCATCAGGGCTGCGAATGCACTCATTTCCCTTAATTGTCCTGAGCAGCCTCACCTGAGCCCTCCACCCATACCCTCTGCCCAAAGCCCCAGGAGCCACACTTAAGCTCAGGTCAGGCTCCCCCACCCCTTGCCCAAGCTACGTTACACTGCAGCGTGTCTGGCAGTATAACTTCAAGTCCTTCACAGAAGCCTGAGCTAATGCCAGGGAACAAGAAGAGCCAGGCTGCTCCACAAGGCTGTGGCTGGAGACAGCCCCACCTCCCTGACCAGGACAATGTCCTGCAGTATTTAATCAGGGCAGGGGTGGTGATAGTGACAGTCTGGTGATCATCAGACATGGGAAGGTAATTAGCAACATCTGAGGTCAATCCAGGAAGCTCAGTGAGAAAATCAGGGCAGTGGGGAAAGGGTTAAGCACAGATACACTGTGATATAGCTCAGGTGCAGACTGGGGGCCTGAGCTTAAGTGGAGCTCCAGGAGCACTGGGCAGAAGGTGCATGGGTGGAGGGTCCAGGTGAGGCTTGTTCAGGGCCTTGGATGCACCAACAGGTCTTAATGACCCTGACCTGTCTGCAAAAGAGGGATAATGGCTAAGGTTGTGTGTTGAATTTTACAGTACAGTCTGAATTGTGGAATAATTTGTCCTGAAATCCTATCGAAACTAATACTGATCTGCAGGTGAAAGATAAGGATCAGGCCTCCACTCACCCTTTGCTACAAGGGTGGTTTGAAAAAAAATGAGAGAAAGAAGACTTAATTTAAACTCATACCACAAACTCTACATTTCACTTTCTGGGGGGACTGCAGTTATAGTGGAATTTAAATAGTTTCAGAAAGACATTAGACCAAGTAATTGCCCCTCTCCTGCTAAGAGGAAGACTCTACAGGCAGAGACAAGAAAGGTCCTGTGCAACAACATCTGTTGGATGAATCCATGTTTAGCTTCTTGACACATATCCTTCAGTTTTTGCATTTCCAGTATTCATTTTAGGATTAGTAAAACCGGCAAGCATTGCTGATGCATATGCTCTTCTTCAGCTTCTTTCTAGTCATTTTGGTCTGCTGCTAGTTAGCTATATATAAAGATAATTATTGAAAGAACAAAGTGATCTCTGTTCTGCTCCTTTGCTTACATGTTCGATTCACTCTTTTCAATATTGGCAGGTTTGGATGTTTAAGAGCATGCTAACCATCTGAAAGATGTTCGAAGCTTCATGCTTGCAACATGATATAACAATCCACATGGAAGGCAATAAAAAGTGTTTGTTAACAAGTAAGAATTACTAGCATTGTTAAAAGCAGTTCCTTTGTTGTCACATTTTGAATGTAGTCATTTCCTAGCTAACAGTCATTAGGCTATTTTGGTTGTCAATGTTGTATAGAGGTATCTGTCCTCAAGACAACAGCTAAGCGATTAGAGATATGAAATATTCCAGGTTGATTTTCTTTTCCTTCTTTCTACCTTTCCCACAGTTGTTTTTAATTTTTTCTTTTAATTACCTCATGCTTATTTGACCTGCAATCTTCTGTGCATAAGACAAAGTACAGCAAGGTGCATCAAATGTACTTTCTACAAGATACAAAGAGTAAACTGAGCTGTACAGAAAATACCAAGCTCAAGATCGCTATTTCATTTAGAAGGAATCATCATCTGGTTCAAGTGGTTTCTCATTCCTTTCTTCTAGTCACGGATAGAGAGGAGATGGTGCTCTGTTGCACTTGTGTTGACAAGGACTCCCTTTAAAAGCTATGCATTGATCCAGCTCTGTCAGACATTGCTTCCACAGCCAAGGCTGCACGTGTGTTTCATTGTATCAGTGGCTTTGACATTACATCAGTTACCAAAACACCAAGTGATCTGAACGGTATTATTGAGTTGAGTCCGTAGTTCTGGGTCTTAGCAAGTTACACTCACTTCTAATCCTCAAACACAAAGTCTTTTCTTAAGTAAGGCTAGAGTGCTGAATACTGTGGAGAAAAAGCCTGATAAAAGAGGGACAAAATACAAAGGGTAGAGATTTCAGCTGGAAAAAATTTCAGTACTGGAGCCTCATGAGTTAACATTCATCACCCAGATTGCAGTAACTGACTGTTAGTCTGTGAATCAAGAGGTACCAGGCTTAAACCACAAATCGTTCGTCAGACTAAATCATGGTTTAAGCTACTGTGTTTTACTTGGCAAGAGTGACAGGTAATTGCTGCATTTGGTGGGTCACTGTGCATCAGCTTAAATGTGGTTACTCATTAAGTACAGCACTTCACCACTTTGACTGGATAACTTTGGGTACAAAGAAACTGGAAGAAGTGAAGATGTATATGATATCAGTAAAATACAGGCCCAGACTACTCTTTCTTTCTGGCACTGAGCAATACCTAATTGTGGATCACAATTAGGAGAAGCCATTCTCTCAAACTCAGTCAGCCTCCTGCCCCGAGTCCATTTAAAATTCCGAGCAAATGTCTTCATTAAACAACCAAAACGTAAGAATGTAAGAAATAATATCCTAATGGATTACAACAGAGGTAGCTGTAGCCTAGCACTCTATTTCCAGGAGCAGCAACAACAGATGGCATTTAGGGTGAGCACATTACCCTATTGCTTTCTACAGTACCTTCCTCTTGTACTTCTCCATCATGCATAATTGTTGTACTAGGGAATATCAGAAGATATTATCCCTGGCCCAGTCCTGTTAAGTGTCCTTGTTCCCCATGAATGTGTCTAATCCCTTTCTGAACCTGCTGATACTGCCCACTTCACAACCTCATGCAGCAACACGCTCCAGAGGTTCAAACTTGATGCATAAAGAAGTACATTCATTTATCCACTAAACTCTTTGTTTACTAGTTTTGAATGCCACCTGTTTCTTGTATTGCACAACTTGGTGAACAATTCCACATTCAGTTTATCCAGTGCTGTTCTGATTTTGTACACTTTGATTGCATCTACACCTCACCCTTTTCCTCTTCGAATTAAAGCACCCCAGACTTTAAATTTTTCTTTTTAAAGGCAGCTACTCTATCCTCTGTAGCATTAATTCCCCTTCTTCATATCATCTCTAATTCACTTCTGGAGATGCAGACGCTAAAGCTCTACCCAATATTCAAGATTCTGGCACACTAAGGTTTTGTACAATGACAAAATATCACCTCTGTCTTGTTCTCAATACCCTTTCTGGTAATATGGCGATGATGACATATTGTTGGCATTTTTGAAAATTACTTGTGCTGAGCCAGTGATTTCAGAGAACTGCCAATGATGACTCCAAGACTTTTTTCCTGCACTGTGACTCATCTCAATACCGTGTAAAGGTTTAGATTACTTCTACCTAGATGCTTTGCTTTGCATTTAAAGCTCTTCTACCACTAATCTGCCCACCTACTCTGTTTTAGAAGCTCTTTTGGAGTTCCTTTCCTTGGCATTTGATTACCCAACAGAAGTCAGCATTGCCCACAAACTTCTGTTCACTACATTCTTCAGGTCATGAATGAAGATGTTGACCGGAATTGTTCCCAGCACGAATCCTTGAGGGACATGACTACTGACCGCGCTGTTCAAAAAAAAAAGTGATCACTATACCCTGTTTGGCTTTCAACTTCAGCCAGCTGCAAGACTATTAATGAACATTTCCTCCAACACATTTTTTTAAAAATAAAAATCGATACAGAACCTTGTCAAAGGCTTTTCAAAAAATTCAAATCCATTATGTTCCTGGGATGCCCTTTATCTACGTGCTTACTGACACCTCATAGAGTCCAGCAGTTCAGTGGAACAGGATTTCCTTTTAAAGAAACCATAGCAACTCTTCAAAGAGACTGTTTACTCATGCACTCATCATCCTACTCTTTGTTGAAGAGTCTTACCATCCCTGGTAAGGTAAGAGTCCAAATCATCAGTTTACAGTTTCCAGGATCCCATTTAGAGCTCTGCCTGTGTACTGCCAACGTGACTTCAATCTACTACTTCTCTGGCACAGTGACCATTTATGGTGGCAGACTGCACACCTTGGCCACCAGTTCTGCTATTTCACATATGAGGGTTTTTTCAGACTCCCAGCCATCTGGTGTCTAAACTATCTTTATCTAATAGTTTCTGTAAATTCACAATAAACTGACTTAGCTATTCTGATCTGCTGCTACAAAATCTATAAAGACGCAACCTTCCCAATACCTTCAGCAGCGAAGTCCAATGCCAAGAACTGAGCCTTGCTCTTCGGGCCTGATCAACCCTGACTGTCTCCTATACTTTGCCCTCACTGATCCCCTAAATGACCTCCTGTTTTTGACACAAAACCACTAGTTATCAGCTTAAGAATCCTCTGCAGGGTGCTCCTCAAATTATTTTTAGTACCCTTAATTTTTTGTTTAAAAGAAAAAAGGGGACTTGCCAATTTTACTTGCTTTCTTGTTTTTCTAATTGGGGCAAGCTTTCCCCTCTGAAAATCTTATCTTTTCCTATGATTGCCTCCTAACTTATGGAACCGTAGAAAGGGATTTGCTGGACCAATGTTTTCTTCATGAGTCATGTCAGACATTTAATTTTTTTTTTTTTAAATACCTTTCTTTTTTTTCACATGATGTCCAGAATAGTTATAGCTTTCTTGCT